GACATGCATGCAGAAACGTGCTAGCTAGTGGATTAAATGCCATTCTGAGAGCAGTAATAGCACAGAGAGATATCACTGTCAAAAGAATGCTGATTTACACAGTGTGATCAGTAGATCTGCTCCGACAGGTTACAGATTTTGTATCTTTATTAACTGTGTGTCAGTTTTACATTCTGTTCCAGTTAGCTTGTGACAGATAACTATTTTTTAAAATCAGATCTCAAGGCAAAGAAATGTCAATGTGGAAAAATAAATACAAATACATTACTCAAGCTTCTTGAAAGTATTGAGCTAAATGGCACGTTGACTTAAATTGCTGAACTCACAGTGAGTAGCTTTAAGTAGAAATAATTTTGAAGTAAAAATACTGTAAAGCATTAGACATTTTAAAAAGCTGAGTTAGATTAGTATTAGAGAAATTATTACTCTTACATTTTTATTACCTATTGAGCTGAATCTGTCTTCCTTGAAGTCACTAGGAATATTAACATCAATTTAATTAACTTAAAGCAAGATTTAGCCCAGAAAGAGTTATTTTGCCATGAATAAAGGAGAAAATGAAGTCTGAATCTCAGCTTTTCCAGCACAGCACCAAACTCAGATCCACAGAGATATTTGGATATGGATCTCCCAATGGACAAGAAATAGACAAGAAATAGACAGGTAATACATTTGAGAACTTGGAACTCGTTAGCTGAGGTCCATATTGAACACAAACTGTATTCACCATTTCCCAAGACAGGTGAATAGCAAATATAGCAGTGTGGGAAAACAGCAATATAAAAGCAGCATTATAAAAAAGCATACCTTGACCTCTGCAATGATGAAGGCTGGATTAATTTTCCAACATTCAGTATGAACCATAGGAACTCATGGCTACTAACTAGCAGCTGGGTGCAGCTCCATGGGTGGTGGTCAGTTTGGGACATTTTATGCTGCTTCTAACAACCATCCCCTCAAAAGCAACAGAGACTGGCTGGCTGGAGTCACCCTGCAGGACAGAGCCAGCCAAGGTGCCATCAGCTGAAACATCTTGTTTAAACAAGAGGTAACATTCTAATCTGTGTTACACCAAAGTTAATCAGAGGCACAGAGATGCTAATAGGATCAAAATCAAGCTGAGTGTCAGCGTAAAGACTGTGGAAGGCTGTGGTTGCTCTCCAGAGTGTCTCAGATTACTAACAGATTACTCTCTGGATTGCTGTCTTGGGTCTCAAAGGAAAATTGTAATATTGCCAGGACAGTTTTCAGTTACCAGCCTTTATTGTGAGTGTGCCCTATGTAGATCTGTGCATGTTGAGTGACATGGAAATATTATTTTCATTTTTTTTTCCAGAAAAATGCACTCACTGAATGAAGGGAATTTGTTTTTCCTACCATTTTTATCCTGTTTTTTTTTTGTTTGTTTGTTTGTTTTTTAAATGTAGCTGTGCCAAACAGAAGGTCATTGTCTCTTTCATTCACCTTGTGCCTGCATCTCGAATTTGCTTTCACCCTAAGTATAACTTGTTTAAATTCTGTAATCATGCCACAACTTAAGCTTTTTTTACCCCTTGTGTATTTTACACGTCTTCCATTATTTGCATAATTTTTTGAAGATACACTCTGACAGATAATCTTACCTCAAATTAGATAAATCATATAAGGAGTTTTTGGAGGTACTAGATGATTCTGCTCTCACAGAAGGTTCTTGCCCACATTATTCTCTCCTGCTAAAAAAAAACAAAAACCAAACCAAACCAAACCAAACCAAAACACAAAATAAGCCATGGGAGAAAATTTTCCTTGAGATCATCAAATGTTCAAGTTCAAACTGAACATTGAAGTCCAAGGTTCAAACTGAATTGCTACAGAATAGGCCTTGTGGTATGTCCAAACCCTACAGATTTCAAGGAACACTGAACCTTGGAGATTTTTAAAAAGGCTACAGCACACTTACCAAAGGGGTTTTTTTCTTCATGAGTCTTGTCATCTCACATTCACTGAAGTTGTATTATAAACATTTCTGGTAGTCAGAGATCTCTGAACTTTGCTTTAAATGAACTGCAGAACTCCTTATATGCTAAGCACCTTTACTGATTTGCTTTAGACTTTCTAGGAATATTCTGCCACAGGATGTAAAGATGTTAAGTGATAGGAAACAGAAGGTGACTTATCCTGGCCAAGTAAAGGTGCTAGAGTTTGTAGAAAAAAAGATTGTAACATGAGACAAAGCAGTCATCATCTGTGAATAGATCACACCTTAGGACCTCACCACCTCACTAACATGCCAGTGGGATTTTCTGGATGTTGTCATTTTTACAGCTGAGTGTCTTAGAGAATTAAGTAGAAATAAACATAAGTACATCAGGTGAAGTCCTGTTTCTTAAAGCTTTCAGAGATAATGAAAACCTCACTGTGGATATGCTAGAAATATTTTTCAAGACCTCAGTGTTTGTGAGATGTCCTCAGTTCCAAAACTGATGATGATTCTATTATTGTCAAATCTCATAGATTCAGCCTTGTATTGCCCTCTGGCACTGTCAGGGACACTGCTGAAGAGCAGATGCATGCTGTAAGAGAAGAGGAAAAAAAAAACCAGCAAAGAAAGTCCAGTCTTTCACATACATAGACCATGGTCTCAAGATGCCTGCCTAGCTCTGGCAGAACACACCATTCTTAGTGAAACACCTTCTGAGCACTTCACACTGAGGCAGAAGTTTCTGCACCTAAAACTCAGTTTAGGTTGCTAGAATCCAGTTGCAACATAGTGTTGTTATAATATTTAAGGCACCATTCAGAATGTAGTTGAGATGTCTGTGCTAAGGAATAGTTTTATCAGTTTCAATACAATACATCCAGAAGACAGCAAAATAGCAAAGCAGCATTACATTAAAGCAAAACAACAGTATCTTACACAGACTACAAATCTGTGGAGCTGCTGGGATTGTATTTCAATGCAATCTATTTATTATAACTACTATGGGTAAAAAAACTACCACTAATATATGACACAATGATCCTGGCACTACTTTGAGGAAGTACAGAATGGTCAGAGCTCCTTGTGGAACAGGTACAGCAGTGTGGCATCTTAAGTGTGGCCTGGGCATCTGTGTCAGCAATGGGCAAGGTAAAATCTTTAAAAAACAGGGTTTCACTGTGAGCACAGACAGGGACCAAAAATTTGGGACTCTTGCATAAGAAGTGATCTTCTAATCTGCATATTTAACTTTTTAATTTTACCTATTCTAGTCATTGTTGCTGGCTTGTTCTTGACATAAAAAAACATAAAGAACATAAAAAAGTCTTGATTTTGAATGTAAGCCTCATGAAATGATCTACAAAACCCAAAAAGCTATGAATGAGAATATGATTTGATTACATAAATTTGGGAGTTCTTTAGTGGTATTCACTATTCCCTATAAATACACCTGGAAAAAAGGATATTAAAAAAAATTCTTAGAGCACAGGTCCAACTGTCCAACTGCCTTCAACACACTATCTGTTTTTCCCAGGTAGTCTTATAAAAATATATAAGGTATAAATTAGGCAAAGAACGTGTATAGTTAAGTCCCACATCTATAACCATAGTGATTATATTGATAATTTGAAACTTTCTGCCCAGGTCTAATTTATTCACATTATTTTTTTTTCTGTAAACAGCAAGAGACAGAAGTTACATCAAAGCAGAAAGGAGATGCTGGCAAAACAAGAACTGCAAAAAGATGCTGACGATGGGATTCGTTTACCTTCTCTGTAAGCTTCTAATGCCATCTTAGACAGTCTAGGGACTATCTAGGGATCATCTCTTTGTTGCCAGATGCCACTCCAGAATGACACTACTCCCCTGCAAATCCTATGCCATATCTGCCAGCCCAGCGTGGCTGTCTCAGATATCCCAGGGCATTAAAAATAGGAATGGTTGCTTATATTTAAGTAGTGAATCACACCCTGACAATCTGGGTTCAGCGATACGTAAGCACTGTCCAAGCCAGCCCCAGAAAAGGATGTGCTGAGGAGGGGAGACACCCGAGGCAGTCCATCTGAGCAGGCTCTGGTCTGAAACAGCACAGCCAGACCAAGCTGGCATATCCTCACACAGCCCCACGGTGCTACAGGAGCTTACTGGCCAGGTCCCTGTCAGCTCAACGATCTTTGCACGACGTTATTGTGCATATTGTAGAAACTGCGGAGTTTAGGGAAACAGGAAAATTTTGGCTTCCTCTTTGCATTTTGGCTATACAATGAGGGAACTGTCCTCAGGCAGAGGTGGCTGAGAAGGCCTAGAAAGAAATCATTATATATTTGTAGCTAGGAATAAACACTAATCAGCTGCATTTGCTTCTAGATTATTTTGCTTTTCTTTTAAAATCTCACCTTCCTCCATTCTCTTGTAACTCCTAACAGAGCAGAGCATGATTTCCCTTTCACACTCTCCTTTCATAGCCACTTAGGGTCTTGTATCTTTGAAAGTTGCTGCCCATCAGAGATTGCAGTCTGCCTTGTACAGTACTCAGGTATGTTGAAATCTTCTGTTATCCTTCAAAGGATGGCTGAAAGAAGTGTCAGGTCATTATTTCAGGCTGTAGCTTAATACTCAGGCTTAGCCATGCATGATCTCTCTCCAGCCTTCACCAAAGACCTTCATTTACTGAAGGTCAAGGTATTAAAGTGTTATTTTTAAATATACTCCCGTCAGGGAAGAGTTTAAAATAGACTTCTACGAAAACGTACAGTAATTGGTTAAATCTTGTTAGCCATCACATGAAGATGATAACTCCTCCCAGGAAAAGACAAAGCAAAAGCAGCTTTGACATGGATTTATACTTAGAAGAGGAGCTGCAGGCTTACTGGGAAGGAGTTCACAATACAGGATCTTGGTATTAGCAGAAGAAACAGCTTGATTCTGCAGAGGAAGAGAAGGCAATTCAAGAAAAAAATTTCCTTCAGCATGATCTGCAAGTGACCTCCATGGATTCCCTACTTTGGAACAACCACCAGTAGACAGAAAGGTTAAAAAGATGGAGCTGGGAAAGGCAAAGCTGCTGAGAACCGGCCTCAACGCTCTGTATCAGGCCATCCACCCCATGCATGGGATTGCCTGGACAGATGGGAAGCAAGTGATGCTGACCGCTTTATACTATCACAACGGAGAGCTGAAGTTTGGAGACTCCAGTGTTGTTGGTCAGTTTGAGCATGTTCATGGGCTTTACTGGGGCCCGTGTTGCGCCACAAACATCCCAGCTCTGCTCGCTGTTCAGCACAAGAAGCACGTCAGCATCTGGCAGCTGGGCTACAGCAGCTCAGGGAAGAACAAACCCCTGATTTCTCAGACCTGTGAAGTCGGTGAGCCGTTGCCACTGCTTTCTCAGGGCTGTGTCTGGCACCCAAAGAAGGAAGTCTTGGCTGTGCTTACAAAGAGAGATGCTTCGGTCTTGCATGCTGTCCGTACTGACAACACTAGAGTTAAGGTTGATATCAAAAGCAGTGGAGTTATCCACTGTGCTTGCTGGACCAAGGACGGTAATCGCTTAGTAGTTGCCATAGGCAGTGCCCTGCATTCCTACATATGGGATGATGCTCAGAAAACTCTACATAGCTGCTCCTTTTGCCCAGTGTTTGATGTGGGAGGTTATATCTGTGCTATAGAGGCCACACTGGATTTCCAAATTGCCGTGGCTACTGAGTTGCCTTTAGATAGTATCTGTGGTTTGAATGCGGGCATTGCATTTGATATGCCATCTAGTACAGAAACTGGTTCTTTCAGCTCACAGTCTGCTTCAGGGTTTGGTGATGAGGAATACTCCATGGACCTTCGCAGGAAATCCACAGATTCAGACAGATCAGCTGTCGATTCCATTGCTTCTTCTTCATCAGGTCCTGTGGATTTAACCCATATCCTTGCAAACCACCGTCGGTCAGATCCTGGCCCTCTTATTACTGTGAGACGCAAAGATTCTGCAGCAGCAAATGGGCAAGATTCTTCTCACCTCATCTTGGTGACTTTTGAGAGAAAGGTAACCACCACCAGAAAAGTCACCATCCCAGGTATTCTAGTTCCTGATATAATGGCTTTTGACTTTAGAGCTCAGATTGTGGCAGTAGCCTCTAATACTTCTAACATTGTTTTGGTGTATTCAGTAACCTCTTCCTGCATGCCTCATATTCAACAAATCCAGCTGGAAAAAAATGAAAGGCCAAAGGGCTTATGCTTTTTGACAGATAAACTCCTATTGATTCTGATTGGCAAGCAAAAGTTCCCTGAGCCTACCCTCATTCCATCTTCAAGTTCAGACAGGTATGTAATGCGTCTGATGATCAAAGAATTGATGGTGGGAGAAGATTCTTCAGCATTGCCTGAGACTAAGCAGAATACGTTTTACAGCTTTGAATCCTCTGTTAATATACCTGGGAAAAGAAAGTTCTTCGAAAATCTTGCTACAGAAGACCCCCCTCAAAGCAGGGAGCTGTTAATCCCAAGAAGCACAACTATTCAATCTCCCAGTGGCAGGAGGAGACTCATCGAAGAAGTAAAGAGCCCTAGCTATGAGCAGAGCTCTTCATCAAGTGTGAGTGACTTAGATGAAAAAAGGCTCCCAGGTGACTCATCGGTGGCCTTGGAAACATTGGATGCTGAACCTACCAATCGTTCAGTGTCTCTTCCTGGTTTTGGCACACCTGCCAGGCTTTCCAGCAGACCAACTTCCCCTAAAGTGCAGTTCAGTGTGGTCCAAGAAACATCGAGTACTAAAAACAACAATTTGCCAAGTGAAAGAGGAATGAGTCACATATCTAGAAATCTAGAGAGACTTTGTGGCAGCTTCAATGAGCTACAGCTGAGTCTTTCTGAAGTGACTGACTTCGCCAAAAATGGGAGGAGGATATCTTTAGCCTATCCTTGTTCACAGGAACCACCTGTTGTTCATATCACTTATCAGGTAATGTTTTTTTGCCAGCTTAAAAGTATTGTGATAGGACACTGAATTTTTAGACAATCTTGTAGTTATTTAGCTTTAAATCAAGAGGATGCAGTTTAATTCTTATCGACCCATGAGAAATGCAACTTGAGTTCGACAAGAAGTTTAATCTAAAATGGTATTATGATTTGTCATTGAAACAACTCAGGATGATGTGGGTAACTTAAGAGGATATTTCACAGGGGAGATTTGTGTCTGTTCTTCTTTGATTACACACAACTGTCTTGGATACTAGCTAATTTAGTGTGCTAAACAGTTGTTAATGTACAAAAGGTTTATGCATTAGTTTAGTGCAGAGATGAGCCTGTGAGTTGGGTGGTACAGTAGCCCACCAGAAACATCATAAATTCAAACCCAAGCTCAAAACCAAAGTTGGAAGATGACTAGACTTTCATGAAGACTGAAAGAAAGTACTGAATCTCAGTTTCTGGGAAATTCAGATGGGCATGACATGAACACAGCTTATTTCTACTCTAATTTCTCACCACTACTCTTCACAGAGCTGGGCATACTAATTTGTAAAACATACCACCCCTTACAATTTTCTGGGAAAAAAAAAAAAGACATCTGTCAATACGTAATTATAGTTTCATTAAATAAATAGACAAATGTCAAATCATTATGTTCCTCTCCCACCCTCATTTTGGCAAAGTTCCTACTAGCTTCAACAAGAAGTTCAGCTAAGGAATGTAGGCTGGGTAATTATTTCTGGCTGTTATTCTTGGTATTATTTGCAGTAATACTAACACTATACTGATAATATTTTGGTCATGCTGATGCTAGTGGTGGTGCTGCTACAACCGGGGTCCCTTTCAGGGTGTAGATGCCAATCATAAATGCATCCTTATCTCGTGCAACAAAAGCAGCATTATGCCAAAGGAGCACATTGCATTGTGCTGGTGCTGAAGTATGCCCTTCCCAAAGAAAATTTGATTTTTCCTTTTAATGTAAAGAAATCCATTCAGGCATCTGAGTACCCCTCTTCAAACACTCATCAAGGGAATGGGGACTCAATTCAATCATATTCATTATTTTTTGGGAATTGTTCACTTGGCATTTAAGCAGATTCTAGATGTTAGGTACTCCAGATGAAAGCAAGGCTTTTGATCTGAATTAGTCAGTAACTTAACTAGAATACATTATACAAATTCTGGTGAAAAAAAGCAGCATGTCTATTTTAAATAATTTAGTATCTTATTTGCCAAGAATCAAACCCTTCTGTTCTCCAGCATGTTCAAATTAATTCTGATTTCTTAACATAAATCAACTTATTTCTGTAGCAAGCAGCCCTTCACATTAGATTGGATTGGATTGGATTGGATTGGATTAACCTTTGCAAAGAGAAGTTTTGTTTGTGACATGTAACATTAATCTAGGATCTGAAGTCACTGTGCATGTTTGCTGGCACAAGCAGTAAGAATTAATTATCCTGTTTTTTTCTTTGCAAGCAAAAAAACCCAATATTAGTACTTCTAAAATACTGCTAGACTAACTACATTTAGAAAGGAAGACTCTTATTTATTTGAACAGGTTAGTTTCACATTGAGGCAGCAAAAAGCACCTCTACTACCACATTATAATGGCTCAGAAAAACTGCCACTCAATGTCCTTCCAACACACATAGCTTTTCTGTGTAAGTCCCAGCTAATGCCTTTGCAGTTCAGCCCCTCTTCTGAAATCTAACAGGATCACAGCATGATGCCAAAAAATAATGAAAAATTGACCGATGGCAAAAAAGCCTCCAGACAGACAGGGAAATATTTGCTTCATAAGCAGCTAATAATTTTCTTGGAAAATAGTTGTTTTGATTAGTTTGGATTCAGACATCTGAACCTTGCTCCTCCTTCAGGAGCTGATTAGTGCTCTGGTGAGCTGAGACCAGCTGGGCTGTGGGTTCCAGCCAGGCTCTGTGTTCACAGTGCAAAAAGTCAGGAAATAGCTTTATTGCCTTATGATATAAATATCAGCCTGTGGAAACCATTCTAAGCTTTAGGAATGCTGCAGTCTGGTCAATAATATGGCCATTATCTTTCAGCTTTTTCTGCCAAGCACATGGCTTCTTACATGTTTGTGTAATCCCCAGCACAGCAGAGGCTCAATCTTGATTCAGAAATCTATTGTACTATAAAATATAATGATCACCACTGCAATAACCATCCTTATGCATTAAAAACATAAAAGGAAAGTTTAAAATGCAATAGATAAAAAATGTAGCAATAATTAACAGGCAATTAGGAACACTGCTGTGCAGGTACATTTATGCATGCTTCCAGTTCTGCTTAGGAAACCGTAACACAAACCAGAGTGCACATTACTTAATAATTCATAATGTCTGCTCACTAAATCCTCTTCAAAACAGTTGTTTATTCTCTTTGTGCTAGCCTGCCTATAACTCCTCCGAAGCCACGTCCATGCAGTGCTACCAGAATTTATATCCTTTGAGAAGAGGTGAGGCTCTGTCACAGATTTGTTTCTGTTTCATTTTGCAGCAAGATACTTTGATATTTCTTTTCCCCCAGAAAAGATACAGCTGCAGAATATTTTAAACTAGCCTCATTCAAAAGCTAATTACAGGGGAAATAAAGCCAGTCTGGATTTCAAATTAATGGCATTTAGACAAACCTCTTCAGGAGGGATAAGACTCATCTTAATCTGAAGAATACCTTAAATCTCCTACATTTTGCTCACCAGCAGCATTATGTCAGAAGTGTGTATCTCTGAGAGCATATATTGCATAATTAAACAGGAAATAAATATCTTTTCCTCAATTAGTCACAATTATTTCCTTTTCTTAGCACTCACCAATAATATACAAGTCAATTTGTACTTTTTTAGCATCTTCATACAATTTACTATGGGAAACTTTATTGCCAAGGTTAGCTATAAAATAAACAATTATTTTACACACAGCTGAGAGATTCAGAGAAAGCATCCAAATATATAGCAGTGAAGTTCTTCTGGTAGAGACACATGAAGCAGAGATAAAGAAGGGGCTATAAGGCTGGCACAGGAAAATGTGCAAAGACCAGGCTGGAATGCTCAGCTGTAATAAGACCTGGAAGCTTTCTGAAATCCAAAGGGCAATTTTGACTCAGGTTGAGCAATAGAAAGACAGTCATGAAAATGATGGAAGAGGAAGGTGATATGACTGCTTCCTGGAGTAAGAAACTAGTCAGCCATCCTGAAATTTAAAAGGAAGAGATTTAGGATGACCATAAAAGAAAGACCTGCAGTAGGCAAGAGAAGGTGTGATTAATGCATGGATAACATTTTGAGCAAAGGTTGAAGAATTTGTTAGGAACAAATTCTGACAACACTGTTCTGAAACTAATCAATAGCAGACAAGCAGGGTTTGCAGAGGAGACACAATACCTTTTATTAGAGCAGATGATTTGTTTGTTGGACACATAGATGCTAAAGAAAAGGAATATGTAATGTCAAAAATTAATCTCAGTTTTCCTATTGTGCAAAGAAAGTAAAGACCAGAGTTTAAAAAAAAAAACAAACCCACAACACTCAAACCAGAAAGATCAAAGGACAAAGGGTATATCTTGGATAACAATATACCTGAAGCAGAACCATTATAGGGAGCCATGAGCAGACATTCTAGCATGATGCCATCTGAAGTGCTGATGTGCACTGCAAATGCAAACCACACTGGGATTTAAGCACCCCTGAGCACCTCAGATCTCTTCCAACGCAAGTATTTTACAGGCTTATGCTTCTTTGACAGGTTAATTAGGGTTGTAATTGAAATGTCCCACATAAGGGCAAGCAAAGATACTCAGTTCTCCACCAAAATAAAATCAGGATCCGCCAAACACTCGAACAGGAATTACACCATCAGCAGAAATCATGACATGGAAGGGAGGAATGCAGGCTGCCAAACCTAATTAATACTGCCTATGGCAATGCTGTACAAGGCTTAATGAGACAAGGTACTCTGAGTGTCAAAAATCATAGTTCTCATTCCTCTTCAGTGCTCTTCCTTAGCCACCTGTCTTTTCACTGTCTTCTAGGCCAGAACGCCCACATCTATTTAATTTACTAGTTTTTCCCTCATCCCACACGATGTATGTGGGGGCAATGCAAAAGCAAGCTGACTAATGGGCACTAAGGTAACAAAACTGAAATTACCACTCAAGCACAACACAAAGAACTGAAATAATGGGCTTAAGAAAATGAAAACAGAATTCAAGGCAGCTACAACACTACTGATATCACAGTGCAGAGATGTGACTGACCAGTCGGATACCTTTCCTTTATAAAAAACAGATTGTTAATAGAAATAATAGGAAGAATGTTTAAACTACCTATAATTCAGTACTTGAAATCGTGCCACAGGGGAAATTATTTGTTGAACAGCAGAGAATAGGCATTAATAGAAGAAACATAAGATGGTTAAGGTATCACCTGGAGGAAGTTAGTAGATGGTTATAGTAGTATAAAAGAAAATGGAAGAAATTTACTAATGGAATTTCTCATGATTGAGCTAAAAGTTTCACTAATGATATGATGAGATAGACTCATAAAATCTGCATATGGCATACTGTTGGTAGTACTTTCAACAAAGGATCAGGATATCACACCTGTAATTCAATGAGTTGGGCACCTAGACTAAAAACAACTGATTGAAATGAACAAACATGAAACACATAGTGATATACTCCAGGACTAACAGAAAGAATTTCTGCTAGAAACTGAATATTTATTAGCTGAAAACAACCAGGGATGACAAAAGCTTGCATGTGTTAAGTGACTACAAAATGACTGAATAAAAATGTGATTTGTTTATACCAGAACAAAGGCAGTCTGCAGGTACATCAGAGAGGCACATCCAGTACCCCACTGGGTACTGTGCTGCAGTACTGGGTAACACAGCCACGGGGCCTCATCTGGAAAACATTTCATATCTCTAGACACCCATGTTCGAGAGGGAGACACATTCCAACTGCAACTGATCACTAACCCAGTGATAGTAAAGCATCTCTCATTGGTAGCATATTCTTATTTACCTCACTGTTTCATCAGTTGTTGAACTCAGGTTCATGAAGATGGTCTGAGCATCCAGGCAAGGACAGGCAGTGCATTAGGAAATATGAGACAAGTGGTCAAAAAGCTCAAGAGGCAGAACTAGCAGCTGCTCAGCTGGGTCCAAAGTCACAGAAGACATGTTTACTTATACACACAGATGCACAGTGTATAGCATATAATACAGAAAACTTTTTTTTTGCCTTAGCAAATTATTTTCTTCTATATATTTGCATTCCAAAACTTGAGTTTTGAAAGCCAGTTTGGCAACGCTGTGAGAGGCTGGCTGCTGCCCAAAAGACCCTTTATAGGCTATAAAATGTGATCAAGGGCAGGCTGACATGGATGAAAGAAAACAATTCTTGAGTTGATGGTTTCTTTCTGTTGGATTTTTGTTGAGGGAGAGTTGGACTTCACATACTACAGGAAGCTGGCTAAAGAAACTTAAGCTGAAAATATCCACTCACATATGTGGAAATATATTTGTTTCTTCTGTGGTTATGTTGTTCTTAGTCTACCAACAAACTTTGCTTTAGGATAAAACAACTAATATTAAGGGATTTTAATTTGAGAATTGCAAGCCCTCTGATTTCTAGTGTAGATAAACAGCAACATACTAAAAACAGACACATACTTTGGGAAGAAACTGATTAAACTTAGATTTATTAGAAAATTGTCTTTGGGTTAAGGCATGAAAATGGGAAGTACTAAGGTGCAATTTTAGTTGTATTTCTAACTCTGTCACAAATCACTTCCATGACATTAAGTAAATCTCTTAATCTTCCTGTGTAATGGTTTGATTCTATATAAAAAGGGAAAACAGTTGCCTACCTTTCAAGAAGGAATGGGTTTAAATAATTAATCTATGTTATGATATGATATGAGTGAACATATTCCTCAAAGAGAAGACATTATTACCACTTAAACTAAATTTTAAACCAAAAAAGTGTAAATAATTAGAAGATTAAAACTGAAAAGATTCTTGACCTAACAGAATTTGAGAGAAGACAAAAATAAATGTAAAGATGATTAAGTTTATTATAAACAGAAGTGTATGACAAAGACAGAGAGAATAGCTAATATGAATGTTCACAAGTGATGAAAGACAAACAACTCTGAAACTTAAGCTTTGAGGGCTGTACTTGAAAAACTGGTTAGGATAAAAAATAGATGCCATGTAGTTTTGTGTATACAAAAATGTCTTTCACTTCCAATGGCTGTTCCAATAATAATTTCCAAGGCTCATTAAAAAATATACTAGAACAAAGTTATCCTTCGTGTACATTTCCATTCAACTGCTTTCAAGTCAGCAGAGGCAGAGGCAGACTGTTTTCTGATTATTCTTGAGTTAAAGTGTATTTGTGTGAAAAAATTAACTGCTTGGGTTAAGGCAATGTCCATGTCTCATGTGCAGTTCACCCTTTTCTATAAGTCATTAACTGAAGCACCAGTCTGGATAAACTCTGCTATTTCAATCTGAATTCAGGGAAATGAAGTAGATGTTAGATGTGCTAATCCAAGATACACAGCAACGAAAAGCTTTGCACAAATGCAGGCACAGGCAAAGAGCATCTTTGCAATTTAAGTGCAAAGCACATGCTGACTGATGAACGTTCAGTTCACGGAGCTTTGGGTGTATTCAGGTTCAACAGAATATAGTGCTATGTAATTTGAAGAGACCTAAAAATGACAAACAAGTTCTGTTCTAAAGTTACAGCTGTAATAAAATGTTACTATTAGGTTTATGACTAAGAAAATGATACTTGTTTGATGCATTCCTTAGGTATTCCCTTGTTAATTACACAGCAACAATTTTTTGGCTGTTTTGAGTGGGGAAAGAGATGAGACTTTTGGAAGTTGGAAAGTTTATGTTTTGAACAAAGATATTTTTACAGTTCTTATGTCTTCAATCAATCTTAATACATAAATAACAATCACCCGTAGACTATCCACATGGCCAATTGATGACAGAAGGGGGGAAAAACCACTTTTGCAACAGTGGGTAGACATTCTGAACATTTACATTTGCAGAATCTAGTGTGGCTGCCTGACAGCCTACATACTGCATACAGAAAAGTGAAAGTGATTGATTCAGAAAGGTCGTTACATGGCAAAAATGCACATGTTCACTGAGAGAGTGACTGAGTCAAAAGACAGCACAATTAGAAATGAAGACAAGCATTAAAAGAGACATTTATTTTGTCAAAGGTTGGATTACTTTGCACAGAAATAGAAGATGATGATGTTGTGAATTCACTCAACTGTAAGTTTCATATTAGCAAGAAAGACTGAAGGGTCAAGTAGACACAGACAGGGTAGGACTAGAACAGGAGCTGGATAAATTACATTCTTTCAACCCATTCTAAAATATTAACTGGGATCCCTCCTGAATGTACAAAACAGAAAGGTCTAGGAAATGGGGTAATAGACTGTTAATTCAAATAACAAACAGATTAAAACTGGGGATATTACAAACATAAGGGATGCCAAAGGAAATGTAACACATAGGATTTACACAGGTGGAAAGTATGGAGAGAAAAGAACAAAATTAAATTCATAAGACAAGGTATAGCACGATTAATTAGAAGAAAATGTCCAATGCACATTTATTTTATAAAGGCATTGAGTCACTGGAAAATTTGTAATGCTAAAATGACTTTCAAATTATAGCAGACAGGAAAATGTGAATGCAAATATATATCCTCTCCACCACCATATTTGTGGTCCTTGTGCCTTGCAGTAATCAGAATGACAGAACAGAAAGGTGTTGATTCTCAAGGCCAGCTGAGCTTCAGGAAGCATGAATATGTCACCTTTATATTCAAGTCTGTTCTTTTAGTGAATGTCAGAGCAAATTCCAGGGCTGTAAATACATACATTCCCTCTTGCTTAAACAAGTCAGCTTTTCAGAGAGAAAAAGACTGCTATGTGCAGTCTCTCTGCACTTCTCTTGATGCCAGAACTGAGGTGAAACAGCTGACCAATGACTATGGGAGCTGCCCACACATACAACTGAAACTGAGCAAAACACTCATTTGCTCTGGTTAGCATTTCAGACAACTGCATTCCAGGCGTGAGATATTCTCTCCCACGGGACTGACTGCAGGCAGGGAGACCCACTGGCCACGTACATGCATGACCTGATCCCTTACATACACAGGGCTGCTGCAGTTTTAAGCTGCATATGCACACAAAGCAAACAGCAAAGCAGCATGTTTCTGTTCACATGAGGCTATGAGATTGCACTCAGAATTGCACTGCATGATGGTGTCATCTATGAATTGTACCAAAGTCAGACAAAGAAAAATCAAACTGGCTGAAGAACTGCAGAAAGTAAGAGCAGAGGAATGGTTTAAAAGAACTCGGGCATAATGTCTAAGCCTTTAACAAGATCTTTTCTTTTCCATGCATGCATTTGAAGAAAAGTTTTTCAAATGGATCAGTTACTGAAGAAACAAAAGATGTTCTCCTCTGTGATGGCAAGATCCATCTGAACTTAGTCCAGCAGCTGTTTGATCTGCCCGTTATTGAAATGAAACATGGTATGTTCTCTTTGTTCCTGGTATCTGGTTTCACCTGAGATTTTTAGTGTAAAAGAAGCATTTGTGATAGAATAATTACCCTGTACTATAGTAAATTGAGATAGCTAACTTTTTTTTTGTAAGTATGTCTTCCTTTGTCTGAAATATGGCACAGTGTCTCTTCAAATCACTTAAATGGTAAGTAACTGCAGAACTACCTATTATCAGAGTAATATGTTAGATGCCTCTTAAGAAAGGAAGGCTGAGAAAATAATCAGCACACCGTGTTACCTGGGAATAGAAAAGTTTCCTTGAGCCCTTTTGGTGTTTGCTTTGCCCATCTTTACAAGCATGTCCCAGCCCTGACGCTGAGAGTAGGTCGGAGAAGAATTAATTCTGAGAATATGACACATATGTATGTATCATGTAGCATCTGGGATTATTTTACTGTAGGTAAACAGTGAAGGTCAATATTCTAATTTGCCAGCCTCACATTTCTACCACCCACCACCGATTCCCTTGTAAGGACAGAAGCAGCTAGGGAAATCCTAGCCCCAGCCTGGTCTCTGAATTCCCTTGTCCCTGTCCCTTCGTGCATGGTACCTTCTCAGTAGTGTACATACCATTATTTTTCAGCCATTTCCCTACAATGTTTCTGATAGCTTTCCTCATCAGAGTCCACGTATATTATGATCTTACAGTACAGAGTAGTTGGTAATAATTATGATCTTTTTGCATGTTTTCCACACTGAGAGATCCATAAATTACTCCCTGTCTTACCCCTTGTCTTAGCCCCTGACAGGCTGTGACACCTTGGCTTAATCAGTATACTCTGTCTTATGAGAGAGTAATTCAACTGTTGGTGAAATAAAGAACAAAAAGAAAGTATCAGTATAAGCTGTAGTTTTCTAAATAATAGTGATTACATACCAGACCACTACATAACAGGCTTATTATGAAAATGAAACCAGGCCTGGGATGTTACTGGTCCTGGCACCAAGGACAGTGGGAAAAAGAGTTGTAAAATATGCACCATTCTGTCATTCATATTCTGCTTATCTCCTTACTATTGATGAGACCACAAGACTGAAGTAAAGGGGCTACACACAGAACACAGATCAGGGGAGCTGCCTCTATCCGAGACACATTGTGCCATGGCAGTTTTCCCCGGGCTTACAGCAGTTTCTGACAGTTCTTCCAGAAGATAGGGATATGCAGGCTTCATATTTTTGTCAGCAGTGGCTCTCACCTGTGCAGTGGAGGGGAGGCAGAGGTGAAAGCACCTACTGGGTGTTGAGGCCTGAGCGATTCCCAGCAGGCCTCTGCGATAACACAGCACAACTTTGCAGCACATGGAGCTGATCATTTTTGGCCTGCACTTCCAGCTCTTGATTTTGGAAACATGCCCGTAATGAAAAAAAAAATTTTGTCAGCAGTGGCTCTCACCTGTGCAGTGGAGGGGAGGCAGAGGTGAAAGCACCTACTGGGTGTTGAGGCCTGAGCGATTCCCAGCAGGCCTCTGCGATAACACAGCACAACTTTGCAGCACATGGAGCTGATCATTTTTGGCCTGCACTTCCAGCAGGAAAAAAAAAGTTTAGAATTCAGTATGAAAATAATAACTAATGGGCCTGAGAATGCCTATTTTGAGCTCTACAGAACAGCTGAATATTTAATATTCAATTAGCAGAACACCACTCCTCAATTTCATGCATTAGACTTCAGAGATCTCAAAAGAATGCCTCCGAACCATCCCAACATGTCCTTCTCTCTGTTCAATGTGGTGCTCAGCTTTTCTGAAATTGACTCTATTTGTCAACAGGAAAACGAAAAACTGAAACACAAATCTACAAAATTTTCAGGTTTGGGGCAGAAATAGTTATGTGACTCTTTATTAATCTCTGGCCAGTGGAAGTTTATATTCCTAAACCTTACCTTTGCCACAAGGCACAAATATTAAATGTGATGCTTAAAAATATCACTCCCATCCTTTAATGCTAGATAATTAAAGGGGATGGAATGAAGAGTGTACTTTTATTATAATGACAGCCTGGCATTTTTTACTATTAATAAGCACTTAAATATATTGGGGGGAAAAAAAAAATCACAACTCTAGGCCAAATTCATACTCACAGCAAGGCTATTAAGATCACTGGAGTTATACAAGCAATGAACTTGGTCTCATCATTTGCACTTTAAGCCCAGGACTGTAATACAATTACCTGTACTAAATATAGCCTGCCATGTAGTGTCCTGGTGTCAGCACACAGGAGTCTCTCTTTTCAGCAGGTCATCACCGTAATAATTGTGCGTGGCAAAAGGGTATCACAGTCTGCAAAAGGTTTTTCCACCACTGAAATATTTTGTGAGCTATGCTTCAAAGTAAGCATTGTTGATGACACCAAACATTTCAATCATTTCAAGTGGATGAAAAGAAGTCCCAAGAGTTTGCCAAGCTTTATCAGTTTGGATAACAATTGTAACTATGAGTTTGGACAGCAGAATCTCCACGTTCATGTCCATCGCTTATGGAATCTCAAGTCTGTCCAGAATTAGAAAGAAAGTATTAAGAGTAGAAGATTAAAGATTCATGGTTTGGAATGACAATCTTCTTATGATGTAACAGGCAACATGACAGCATGCAGTAGTGTCACAGCCTGGAAAAGTGCTTTGTTACTAGTATGGGGAGGGGAGATTTGCCTTCTCCAGGAAAATGCTTCATTTTGACTGATGAAAATTAAGCATGGTTCCTCTAGATTTTCTACATTTCCTTTTTCCACATTCCTTTTCAAAACACAGTTGGGTTTCAACTCCCAAAATTAAAAATTCAAACAACAGAACATAACAGGGCTTTCTTTACCTCAGATCCCACCTAATGCCCTTGCTCAGCAATAACAGGATCATGTGCCCTAGAAAATGTGTGACACAAAGGCTCCTACAATGCTTCTCAGTTGCCACATATTTTTTTCTTTTTCAAAAAATGTCAAGCTGAAAAAAAAGACAAATAGAGAATTCACTTTTTTCTATAAGAACTGCAATATTCAGTCCCAAATGAAGTAGATTAATCACAAGAAAAATATATATGGTACACATAGCCTCATTGTCAAGCTGCTTTGCAAAGGAAAGCAAAGATTAAAAGGGGAGTAGGTTTATTCTTCTGTTCTATGCAGTACAGAAAGTGAATCTCATTTGATGTGTTTGGTTTTTAATCTTGCCTTTTTTTCATAAAAAATTTTAAATGTCATTCAGATTTTGTTAAATCTCTTCTTTATAAGAAGACTTGATAAAAAATTATAGGACAATAAGTTTCCTTATATATTCTTCTGTAACTCATCTTTTGTAAATCATGATATCTTTTGTAAATCTTCTTCAAGCTGTAACTTCCATTTGCTGTGTGAGTTTGAAAACACACCGAACAATTTTGGCTTGACAGTAAAGGAGATGGAAATCCCTGCTTCTAGGACAAATACATCACAATAATTTTCCTTGCCAAGTATTTCATGTTTTATGATCTCTTCAGCATTTGGGTAGAGCAGGTGAGCAGAAAGGACAAGCAGAAGTAGATGTCACTAGTACAAAAGTCAGCACTGAAAGGTTGGCTGCGCTTTCAGAAAATGGAGATTCTTACAGAAGTAGCAAAGATGCACCTTGGTTTTTAACTTAATTTAAATAAAGATAAAATGCCTCAAACTTTTTGAGACCTTTCGTTTAGCTCTCCTTCACATTCCCACAAAGGTGTGTTTAGCACGGATTGTCAGAGCTTAATGGCATTAGTGTAATAGGGCTTTAGTGCACAAAAAGAAAGCCTGCTCTGCTCCTGTGCTGGCTGACTTCTTAAAACCTGCTTGGACATTTTACGTAACCAGAGCAGGACACTCATTTTCTTTTTTTGCTTAATTTTTACAGGCTCTTCTTGGATTGTCCTGACTGCAGACAAGGACGGCTTTGTGCCATTAATATTCAAAGCAACACAAGAGATAATCATAAGGGATGGAACTGACAGTTCAGAAGTCTGCGGAGGTCACTCCTACAAAAGAAGCATTTCAGTGCGACCCCCGAGCAGGGTGACATAATTTCTGAGCAGAGAGCACTAATGACATTCTTTTCTAACACAATACAGAGACACTCTGCAATGTCAGAAACTGAAAGACTAGAAAGCTGTCTTCACTACTTCCAATGTATTATAACAGTAAAATCTGTGGCTCTGTAGCTAAATCCCAGGGTTGGCTGGACCCTCATGGTTTCTTCTGAAGGATGAGACCCACAGTGAAGTTTATCACAGCAGCTTTTGCTAATGCCTGCCAGTGGCCTGAAGTGGATAGACCAGCCTGTACTTTAATTGTGGTGTATCGTCCACACTAAAGCTGAAGATAATACAACTGAAATAAAAACATTAAAGAAAACTAGCAAGTGAAAAAAAAGAAGAAAAAGGCTTCAGGCTCTCTTTGCTGTTCCAGTTGGAGCCCATGGAAACCTGCAATGTTTTCAGAAATACTTAATTTTTATATGAAAATGTTCAATTACTACAAAGGCTGCATCATTATCTCCTGTGTCTTCCTACGCAGCATGTAGATTTATACATGCACACAGAAGAGAAAGAAAAAAAACCTTTCAAGGTCAATTAAGGATCAAAGACATTGAACGTAAATTTGATTCAGCTAAATGTAAGATGTCTACGCTGAACTTGTCATCTAGACTTCTGTATGATCAGTCAGAAAAAGAAGAGGACTTCTACAGCAGATTACTCATGCCCTAACACTGATTTCTAAAACTAATTGTGGTGAATTGTCCCTATTAAGTAAGCAAAGAAGTGCCTACTCCTTCCCACTGGCTGCAAAAGCAAACTAGGGTGACTGGTTTAAACACGAACATTTACATTTAGTCAGATGAACTTCACCCCCAGAGACAAGAGGCAACACAGATACATCTGAAAATCAAACAGACAGATTTATGAACATTAAACTACTGTGATTACAGTGACAGAAATAGACATGAGGTAAGAACTGAGTGAACTTTCTGTCTGCCCCAGAATGTGAAGCGATGGGTGAAGTGCAATGAGCAGCCACGAGTGTGAGGCCCAGCACTCGGCACTGCTGGGCAGGCCCCAGCAGACACAGAGGGGCATGGCTGCTCCACCCTCTGTGTCCAGGGAGGCAGGAAAGGGGTGACACCCACTTCAGCTGCTATTAGTTAGTTAAGCTAACAAGAGGAAATGGGCTGAAGTTGCACCAGGGGCGGACTGGATTGGATGTTTGGAAGAATTTCTTTCCTGACAGAGTGGTGAGGCGTTGGAACAGGCTGCCCGGGGAGGTGTGGAGTCCCCATCCCTGGAGGGGTTCAAACAACATGTACCTGTGGCACTTGGGCACATGGCTTAATGGTCATGGTGGTGTTGGGTGATGGTTGGACTTGATGATCTTAGAGTCTTTTCCAACCATAATGAGTCTATGATTCAGACTTATTTTTCGTACAGTGCATTTTGGGCATTGTTAAAGCTCCCTGCCTGGGAACAACAGCAAGGCCACTAACAGGGCACGTGGACGCTAAGATCCCGTTACAGTCCTTCACCCCATACCAGGGCTGGACTGAGCAGGTAGATCTCGTCATGGGTTTGGAGCTTTGGCGTTAGTAACATTCCAGTGATGCAGCCAGAAATCTCATGAGGAACAGTTTCAACTCATTGCAATAAATAATGTCCTTCTCATGCAAGTATCCTCCCAGAGACAGAGGAACCATCATTCTAAATCACCTAAAACCACGGGTATGCAGTGCAGCTGAGTATATTTGTACCACCTTGTCTGCAAAGACCTTTCCAAGCAGCCCCGAGGAGCATTCCTGTTTGTAAAAAAAAATAAAAATAAAAAAAATCTGTATTTTAACTATTAAACACATCTGTTACTTTATAGAGATTTGGGTAATTTGACTGCCTGCTACTTTGCATTAAAATTGTGTTCAAATAGATATTTGTATTATTACTGCTTTAAAATTTTGGGTGAAGTCACGCTTTCCTTCACTGAAATCAATACAAATAATTGAAATCAAATAAGTAATGCAGAGGTTCACAGACTTAGTATGGTGAGAGAAGACAATATCAGATTTCTAAGTGACCCAGCACATTTCAAAGCAGCATATGTTTCTAATCCTGCAGATACACCAGAACAACATCCTTGTGTCTCACAACAGTAGCTGGTATTTACAATACTTATGCTATGGCCAAGTGAAGTAAAACTTAATTACAAGTAACTAAAATGATGGGGGGATATATTTTAAAGCACTACTTAGGCTCAACTAAAGGAAGAACTAAAAGGAAATTTTTCTCAGAAATATTGTCTTCTGCAGGTCATTGTCCCATAGTTTGGCCCACTTGAAATCAAGCTACTGAAAAACAAAAATGTATTACATGGAACAGTCCTGCACTCTAAACATATGAACTTCAGGAAAAAGGGGTTGATATCACACCAAGACACTTTTATTGGTACTGTATAGTTTCTTTGAGCTCATTATATACATTATTCATATGGAATTCCTTGTTGCTATAGAAATACATTCCACCTTTTGTAATCTTCATGCCCTAGTGCTGTTGCAACAGCCAGAAGGGGAATTCTGAGAAGGTGAAAATCTTAACTAGCAGAGATCAGCAAGTATCTAGACATCAAAGATGTCTCAGAACTTACAGTGATCACTGGACATTTCATTGTCAGTCTGTCACACTACCATTTTAATTTTTCATGTATTACTCTTCTATAAAACCATCTGAATGTTGAGAAGATCAGGAGTGAAAGGAGCTTCTTTGAAAGGCTATCAAAGTTCGGTTTGGCTTGGTTTGGTGGAGATAAGAAGAAGCAAATAAACTTTTAGATGATGAAACAATTAGTTTCAGGGAATAACTGGCTGTAAAATTCAAGAAATTTAGTTCTGTGATGCTTGATGAATTTTTTGACCTGTTATACTTTGGTGACATTGGTTTCCCTGCTGTGTGATTCAAGGGTTTTTGAACCTAAGCAGCAACTCATCTGCCTGAAGGTGCTATCATTACGCAGTACAACTTGTCTGGTAGTAAATGAGGACTCCAGTTCATCCTGTTGGGACACTTACAATTTAATAGGAAGGCTTAGGAAAAATATACTGTCTATCAATGAAAATTGTATGATGCCAAAGAATAGCACTGCCCCTTCCCCATCTATGAACACACTATTATGTACATCTATTTGAAAATAAGTGTTTAAATCACATACATGCATTTAAAAATGGACAACTATTGACTGAAGAAATATTTGTTTTCAGGTAAGGACTTAGAATAGTGCAGAACTATCTTATATAATGTCTATGGCAGGGCTGTAAAGTTAAAATTGAAAGTAATAAAAGCCCAGGAAGAACCGTGGGAGAGATTTATGCAAAGCAGAGTATAAATTCTCAGCTTTGGTTTAGGACAGAGAACAGATGGAGAGCCAGTGAAGATGAGAGACACACGACGACTGCTCTGCTAAGCACAAGATGCAGAGAAGGTTTTTTGCACAGTGATAAAAGGCACGTGGAAAGAGAGAGGGACTTTGTACTAGATGAGTTGAGCACACAGTAGGCTGTGAAAAGGAGACAAGCATAGACTCGGGTGCATTCACCATCCTCCAGAAGTGCTGTTTTATTAGGGCCAAAATCAATTCGTTTAGAAAAAGGAGAGTTGTTCACATCACCTAAATTTTATGATGGTGCGAGGGCCCTCTTTTAGGCTGCTTATTTCACCAGCAGAAAGGACTGGCTCCTCTGGAGGAATAAGGAGACTACTGGTGCTAGGTTCCTAGCCAGAGTCACCCTGAAGGGGAGTCTGTAGCTAGGAGCTCACAGGAGAAGTCAGAGCAGAATGACTACACCCAGTGTGCCCCATACCAGTGGCACTCAGAAGACTGAATGGTGTACAGGCTCCTCCAGAACATCTGCCCTGTGGGAAATAAACAACACACCAGAAAGTCTAAATTTCAGTGTTACTTCCTCTGTTATCTTTATCCAGTACATTTATATGCATCCTAGTCTACTTTTAGGAGTTGATATATCTTTAAAGTACAATCTGCTCCAAAGTAAAAAAACTTACCTTACTTTTTCCATAATTTTGCTGCTAATATGCAGCATTTACACTTCATGGTTTCTTGTCTTGACCCACTTCTTGAGAAAATGCTTACAACAGAAGTTCTGTATGCCGGACAGGTTTTTTCTTTTCTGATTTTGGAAAAAAAAAAAAAAAAAAAAAGAAAAAGGCAAGAAGAGTAATAATACAATATAAAAATTAAATGAAACAAAATCAAAGTCAGCTTAAATTCTACTGGCCAATCTATGATGCTGACTTTGCACAATGAAATATTACTTTTATAATCTTCATAACAGGTAAAAAGTGAGACATCACTGCAGGAAGTGTATAAAGTAGGCCCCACATCACCCTCAACTACATAGTCCCTTTTTTCCTCTATTACTCCAGACTCGTATTGTCTATACTCATGTGAAAAATCTTAAGTATCAATTTCCTTTAATGCATTTGTAACCACTGAAACATTATGAAACGCATCATCCTAAATTCCTTTCCCCCGATTCTCATTTTTATCTATGTTTCCTCAGTTTGGACAATTATTATATTTTTAGCCATTTTTAATTTCAGTTTTTCTTATATTAATGGAAACCACAAACACTGGACCATTTTCCCCATCCAATACATAGCTGAAGAGTCTTTCTCTCTACCCCAAGACAGTGCTAATTATTGCTAAGTAACTCCTGACAGCTATTTTTCTAACTTGTTCTTAAAAAGCCCCAACATATAGTACTGGATTGCAATTACAAAACCAGTCCTTTAGACCTGGACGCATCTGACCTGATATTTGAGCATGTGAAGTCAAACAAGGTAGGTCGTAGAGGTCATGGAATTGCACACATGAAAGGCTCAATTTACTTGCCATTGTCCCATACAACAGACATTAACCTATATAGCGGCGGTTTATACGTTAATAGTAATTTTATATGGTTTTATATATACATTAGTCAATATTATGGCTTCATTTCTCTCTCAGACTGAGGTGATTTCACAACCATT